TCCTTTCCAATACTGTCAGGAGTTATGGATGGACAACAGAATGTCAGAGACGCGGCTGGTGGGGCCCTCACCATCGCTAGCCATGGCACAGGGCAGACAAGTCCTTCTCATCCTTGGCCACTCACTGCCACCTATGGACGCCTGATGTCCATGCCTGGAGAGTTTGACTGTCTTGGTCTTTGGTGTGTTGTAGGCATGGAAGTTCTGAAAACCCTCTTAAGTAACTGTATTGTGCAGTCACAGTTGAGAATCGTTGAGTCCAGATCCACCCAGCGATTTAAAAAAAAAACACCTTTTTGTTGGTTTCAGAGAGGAAGGGAGGAGGAGCAAGAGAGAGAGAAATATCAATGATGAGAGAGAATCATTGATCGACTGCCTTCTGCACACCCCCTATTGGGGATCGAGCCCACAACCTTGGCATGTGCCCTTGACCGGAATCGAACCTGGGACCATTTAGTTTGCACACCGATTCTCTACCCACTAACCAAACCAGCCAGAGCGATCTAGCGATTCTTAAATATCTCTGGTCATAAGGATCCCCAAGCTACTTGATAAAAGGGTGCCCAAGCTATTTTTATTAGTGTGTATAATTGGGTACCCAGGTGATTTTGCAGGGAGGGCCTTGGATACTTTTTGGAAAAATCCAAAAAACAAAAAAACACACGAATTCTTGTCTTGACTTATTTGGTTAAGCCCTGGGCTCGTCACCTGCTGACAGCAGCTTCAGCTATGTGAAAGTTCACACCGGATACATAATTCTTACTCCTGACAGTTCCCAACGTTCATGGAAACAAAAACTTTCACAGAAGCTTCTATACAGTTGTGCTGCCACATGCAATGCCAAGGGCGATTCCAAATTCCCATAAGTCAGGCAAGTCTCCGGCCAAGAGAAAAACAGACAGCACGCAGGGAATTCAGGGAGAATTCTTTTGTAGATTCTTGTTGCTTTAACATACAACATTTTATTTGAGAAATGTATTATGTCTGTGGCCAGCAATTCCACTCTCAGATATTTCTCCTAGAGAAACCAAAACACTTGTGCAAAAAATATTTATAGCCGTTTTATTCACAATAACCCAATGCTGGAAATTACCTAAATATCTATCAACAGGTGAAGTATATTCACACGATGGATGACAGCTCAGACTAAAATTAAAAAACAAAACAAAAAAATGTACACACGCCCTGGCTGGTGTGGCTCAGTTGGTGGGTGTTGTCCCATGCATACTCTCTCTCTCTCTCACACATACACACACACACACACACACACACACACACACACACTGGAGTTTTAATAGCATATAGATGGAATTCCAATTCTATGGCATCTAGATCCTTAAAAATCTAAGTGAACATCTAATCATAACTGAAGCGCCATTTTATTCCTGGACACCCATTCTTTATTAGCAAGTGTCGGTCACAGCTATTGCACTTGACATAACTTAATAACAGTTTCCTGTGATAATGAGCAGGCTCTCGCTCTCTCCCAGATACACCAGAGAGGGAAAGAGACAGCTGATGAAGTCCTGGCCAGGCAGCATTTAAATGATGACTGGCCTTTCAAAGTCATTGTGTGGTTGGAAGATTCTTTTAGACATTTCCCTTCAAGGAACAAAGGCTTTTCTATAAAAAAAAATATATATATATATGGAGACCACCAGGACTTCAGAGCCATCCCGAGCAAAGCTAGCCTTTGAGGACTCGCTGAAGACCTCTGTGGACAGAAGCTCGGTGGGGCATTCCCGGAGAGAGCTGGCGGAGCTGGGGGCTGCAGGCTTCCCAGCCGCAAAGCCCGGGGAGGCTTTTCTTCCTGGCGGAGCTGACTCTCTCAACTAAGCGGGGCATCGTGAATGCCGCTCCGGAGGGTGAGACTTTTGATCCAGTTATTCCTGTGTGGGGCATTCTGTGAATTCCTCCTTCCATTTTCTGACTTAAAATTGAAAAGCAGAATTGTAACCAGCAGAGGGCGGAAGACATTGCATTTCAAAGTGCTGAAAGTAGGATCCCAGGCACTAAAGCAATCACCCCAAGCCAAGAGCAAGGTGGAAATGCGTGGTTATGCAATGCAGCTTCTCTGCGTCTCCCCGAGGTGCCCTTCCATGCTGAGCACAGTCCCTTCATCAGACCTCCTCTCTCTCTAGAGCCTCCGCGGGTTTCAGGGCTTGGCATTTCCCATAAACATCCACAAGTTGTGGTGGTTTGGTGTGGCAGACACCTCTGATTGCTGTTACAGCATCTATACCTGCATTCTTCCCCGAGAACTAGAGCTCAATTAATTGGTCAAGAGCAGCGAGACATCTAGGACTCAAACATAAGAGTCCCAAATGCTGGTCACTCACAGGATGAGTTATGATCGGCCTAAACCAATGTAACCATTAGGATAAGAGTAGCTTCCATAGCAGTCAGACTCCAACCCTTCATGAATTAACCAAGGAAAATTAATTCCTCATTCACACAGGCAACATTCTATTTGGTAATTCATAGATGTCTTGCATTCTGTCATCTTGATCTTTGAGTACCTAGGTCCCAGGTACGTACGCACGTGTATATACACACACACACACACACACACACACACACACACACACACACACACACAGAGAGAGAGAGAAAGAGAGAAGGAGGAGGAGAAGAAGGAGGAGGAGGAGGGGTCTAGGAATGCAGTCCTTCCACTTCCTCATGGAGGAGACAAGATCACTAACAGGCACATTCTGTTGTCAGGATCTAATCATGTGGCTTCACCTGGACCCAAGAGAGGTTTGGGAAGGTGGTCCTTATCTAGGCAATGCCCCCTTAGCAAGCATACTAGACCATGGGGGAGAAAAAAAGCAGGATTCTCTGATGGGCAGCTGTTAGAGTTGGCAATGACAGGTCACCATAACCTCACCTTTGCTGAGGATTAACTGATGATAGCCACTAGACACTGCTGCTTCTGGAATGCTTTTGTTTTTCTCATGAAAGGGATAGACTCATTTAACATGACTTTTCATTTCCTCTCACTTCCTCTTTTCTTTTCTCTGGAAGGAGGATGCAATAACTGAAGCACAGTAGTCATTGGGTAAATAGGAGGGAATATGGACAAGAGCCAAAACAAAAAGAATGCTTCGTAGAAAAAGAGGGAAAACCCCAGTCTTAATCAGTCTTAGAGGAGCTTGAGTAAATTTGGATTTTGTTTCAGCCATTTAGCTAGATGTTTATGTGACCATAAAAACTCACTGAGTCACTTTCAACTTCAGTTTTTTTCTCTTGTAAAATTGGGATAACCAAGTCCATATCCCTGAGTGTGAAGGATTAGGTAAATTCAATAAATTGCCTGAACTCCGAAAAACACAATGTCCAGTGCATCTTCCTTATTTTCTCCTTTTATTTATCATTACATTTGTCTCTAAGGACAATATTATATTTTAGTTGATAGAAATTCCCATCAATAATGAAGAAAAAAACAACACACACAAGTAGATGTATGAATACTTCCCCCAACACACACATACTAGTACACCCTGTCAGGCCTGCTCTGTAATCTCTGTAATTTGCAGTTATGAGGCAAAACTGTAGCCATTCCAACCCTCTTTAAACCAGAATAATTCCATTTTTAGCTGTTTTACATTTAAACTCCTAGGGAAAATGTCATTTCCATAAATGTTCCTGCAGCTAGAAACATGTGGAACCTAAAGGATTATGTAGCACCTTCGTATAACACATCACCTAAGCCAGGTACTTTTGAGAATGACGGGTAGTAGTAGAAAAATTACACTGAGGCATGTGGTAACCCAGGACTGCCCAGGGTAGACTAAGAGAGTGGTCCTCCGAGGTTTACATGTGAATGCTAGAAACAGACCTTACAGCACCTTAAAAAATGGAAGAAAAATTTGTCTGCTTTTCTCTAATTTTTCATATACCCACCCTTACATATTGCTGTCCTTGGCTGATAATGTGGATACATCATAGTAGGTCCCCAGGCACCTTCCTGGCCCAAAATGGTTGCTTGTGCACCAGCCATCGTGTTTACATTGGAAAGAATGATCACCTTGCCTGCTTCCTTTAAAGACATAGCACAGGAATTGCACATAGCTCTCCTGCTTACATCTCCTTAGTCAGAACTAATTATAATACCACATGGAGCTACAAGGAAGTGATTCTCTAGGTATAAATGAAGCAAAGACAATACCATGGAACCGAGCATTTTCCGCTACCACAACAGGTAGCATTAGGCACGGGAATGGGCTAGATGTCAATTCAACATACACACGCACAGAAATTGCCAGATAAGAAAGTTCCGTTTAATTCTTGCATCACTTTTCAATGTTTGCTTTAACACTTTTTGCTACTTTCATGTAGTGAGCACTCAGTTGATAGGACCGTATTTCAATAGTACTCACTTTTTGTTCAAGAAGCTTGAGATACTTGTAATGAGAAAAATTAGTGCAATGAAGACACACACACACACAACACATATAAATTGTAACAGGTATCCTAAATGCTCCAGGGATGAGATTATATCAATATAATGTGTCCAGACCGAAAAAAAAAAAAAAAGCTTCTGGTAGCCCATGGACTTCATCTGGAACTTATTGACACTTGCTTTGGTTACAAGGAGAAGTAAGGGACAGGCACTTCAAAGGGGGTGATAATATGGACGGAGGGACAAAAGCAAAGTGAGCCACATAGTAGAAAAGCAGCAACTCGGAGCACAAGATACTTGAAAAGGAGAAGTGGAGGTGGAGATGGAGGGGAGAGGGATGCATGGAGACAGCAGACTTTGATTCGCCTACTTGTACCTGTTGGCGGAGCTTTTGCATATATCTCCATAAATCAGGCATCCATTTGTGCTCATTCTGGGCGTCCAAATGGAGAAAAAGAATTACCAAGAACATAAATTCAGGACAAGTTCCTAAAGCTGTTTGTTTGTTTTTTAACCAATGAAACACTGTGCCCAGTATTATACAAATGACCGCATGGACCATAATCTCACACAAATTCTTCAAGTAAACTGTTCTCACCTCCTCTTTTCAGAGACTTCAGTGTCTTCAAAGAAGTGTTCTGAGGTGAAGGAAAAGGGTGATGGTGTTTCTGAGCTCAACCCCAGATTCTCCTGTGCATTTGCCAGGCAATGTGTCAGATCGAACACATTTTGTAAAAAATTTCTCAAGATGTGGTTGGAGCTACTGGTAGAGGAAGTGCACAGGGAGAACTCCCACATGTGTGATAAGAATAGTTACTGCAATCCTCTGTCTTGCTCATCCTGCCAAGATCAGGAAGCTCTGAGAAATAAAGACATTTAAAGACAAATATCTCTTCTCTCTTTCACTTTCTCCTTCTCGTTCTCCTCCTCCTCCTCCTTCTTATCTGAAGTGCAAGTCCATCATTCTCAGTATCAAGTAATTCAGATGTCATGCCCATACATGGATTAATCTAGCTTGACATATTTGCTCACTAAAATCAGAAATAGAATTGAACCCAAATGTTTGCAAACTTTGAAGTCATGCTTGTGTCCTGAAGGAATATTGTCTGTATTTGATTTCTTCAATTCACAAAAGGTGCTTAGATTCTTTTCTCAATGCATCATATTTCCCAGAAAGACATCCTAGCTTTTTACCACCAAGAAAGGCAAAGTGAAATGTCAACCTCGAGTCATCTCAATTAAGAGATTTTATTTCTCCGCTGAGAAAATGAAAGTAGGTAACTTGACACATTGCCTTCTACCTGCCATTTTGATCAGCAGAAATTATGGTCTGTAGCCTCCCCTTTCCCTGATCTAAGGAGAGTTTTATTAAGAAATGTTGAAATATTTTAATTTTTATGACTTTCCAACACAATACATATAAACTGCTGGGATGTTATAACCCCCGAAAAGAGATTGGTTAGATTCTCCAACTGCCAAGTTACCAGGGAGAGTATCCTGACCTGGCAACACACAGCAGCCTTGTATAGTGTTTGACGCCCCCACTACCAGACACAAGCAACTTCCTCATTATCCTCTCACGTAACTGAAACAGGGACTGGGCATCTGACGCTTTTCTATGGACTTGAAGGCAATTGCATTTCAGATTGAGAGGCAGACATAGAAAGTAGAGCTTAGGAAAGAAAGAAGCACAAGATGGGCAGGAAACAGGAGAGACAGCTGTGTCTTTGGTCTCTAAATGAACATCCTTTATTGTCCCCGAGAAGCTGTATTTGGAAAGAACTTCAGCCAACCAAGGGGTGCGGGGAGGTGGGGGGAAGTGGAGGCAAGTCAACAGGAATCTTAACTGTATGTATCTACACAGCTACCATGATGGTGAGGCAATACATGCTCCAGTTTAGCCCAAACCCTAGCATTCTAGCTTTAATTCTTTCTGACCTTACTTCATGACAAAGCAAGATGACTTATCTGACTTTGTTCAGGAAATGAAGACCCTCATAAGGACAAAAGTAAAAGAGGTTCTTGGGTTGGATGTCAACAGATGACATGGACAGTCAAGTCCTCAAAAGAATCTTAATAGTAACTATATGTACTGTTTTCCTTAATAGTAACTATATGTACTATATTTCCTCAAAAGATGGAAACCCAGGTTGGGAGTAGTTCATTAACTTGACATTCTTTTTTCTTCTTGAGTATAATTCCCAGAACACCTTCTTGACCATGGCAATGTGCCAGTTCAGCAGCTATGTTTGCCACCCAGCTTCTTTCCCACTTACCATCCAGTGTTCTATCAGATCCAATACATAAGCTCATTTATCCCCAATTCCCTTACCTTTCACAGGAAACTGCCATCAAAGACAAATGTACTTGTAAGGTATTACACATCCCTTTTATTAGCCTAAGATGTCATAGTCTCATTGAAACATGGGGAAGGTTATTGGACTCCTTGAATCCAGTAGTCAGGGAAACCAATGATAGAGGCTGACAACCATGATGCATGTTGAGAATTCTGTCTTTATGTTTTTCTCTAGCTCAGACTGTATCAATCCACTGAGCCATTTTAAGGATTTGAATTACTTTGCCAATATTTACTTGAGATGCAACTCGAAGCTACAAGCCGATTAGGAAGCTGGGAGGAGAAGATGAGGAACATTTATTGAGCTAAATACATTGGCAGCAACTCAACCCACGAGAGGAAGATAAAAATAAGTGAAAATAAACAATTAGTAATGGCTGTCATTTAGCTCACAAATGCAGTGTGTGTTTTCTTGAGCTGAATAGGAAACAGTCTATAACTGCCTGTACACATGTCAGCTCGGAAAGGGAATAGATGTTTTCTAGGGCTGAACAGTGCGAACATTAAAAATAATTGTGTAGCAGAAAGAAATGATCTTGCAAGCATTCTTTGGTAGAGAGGACCATGAGGTGTCTCCTAGGCATGAAATCCTAGTCTTCCAAAAATTCTGGGACTCATAGGACATTAGATATTAAAAAGTGATAAAGGATTTCTTTTCATTGTTGATGTGTTCTTTTGATGAATATGGCTATAATAGGAACTTAACAGGAGGCCCTAAAGTTCCATGGAACTCTAACTTCGCTGAAATAAATGGAGAGGGATATGGTCCAGAGTGATTGGCTGAGGTGGACTTCATGTCCTCTAGGAAAATAGAAGTCATGAGTTCTCTACGTCTGGAATTGGAAATTGGTAAAAAAAAAAAAAAAAAAAAAAAAAAAAAAAAAAAAATTGTAAGAAATAATTTCTACCTTAGCCTAGCAGGTAGCTGTAGTAACCCCAATTATTATGCCAGGATGGGATCTTCATCCAGGAAAGAAAAATAGAGAAGAGGCAGGGTTGAGCCAAGCAGTGTTTTCTTCAGAACTTGGGGTGCCCATTGGGACAAAATAGCCAACTTAGAGTCCAGGGTACTTTTTAAGGAGAAGTGAAGGTGGAGGTGAAAAAGTGGGCATACTGATTCCACACAAAAAAATGAATTTTGACACAGACCTGACACCCTTTACAAAAATCCCCTCAAAGCATGTCATAGATCTTATTGCAAAACACAACACTGTAAAACTCCTAGAAAATATCATAGGAGAGAATCTAGATAACTTTGAGTATGACGATGTCATTTTAGATACACTAAAGACACAATACATGAAAGAAATAATTGATAACTTGGACTCAAAACTGAAAACTGCTCTGCAAAGGACACTGTCAAAACAATTAGAAGACAAGTCACATCTGATACAAGATTGTTATTCAAAAATATGCAAAGATCCCTTAAAATTCAACAATAAAAACTTAATTTAAAAATTAGGCAAAGGATATGAACAACAGACACCTCACCAAAGAAGATATTCAGATGGTATTAAGCATATGAAAAGATGTTTTATGTCATAAGCTGTTAGGGAAATGCTAATAACAATGACATACCACTGCATACCTATTAGAATGGTCAAAATTTGGCATGCTGATAACATCCATGTTCCTGAAGAGGTGGAGCAACATTGCTGGTGGGGAATGCAAAATGATTCAGCCACTTTAGAAACAGTTTATTGATTTATTACAAAATGATCATGCTTTTACTGTATGTTCCAGCAGTCATGTATGTACTTGACATTTACCCGAAAGAGCCACATACTTATGTGCACACAAAACCCTGCGTATGGGTGTGTACAACAGCTTTGTTCATGATTGCCAAAACTTGGGATCAACCAAGATGTCCTTGAGTTGGTGCATGAATAGATAAACTCTGACATTGAATGTACAGTATTATTTAGTGCTCAGAAGAAATGAGCTGTGAAGCCATGAAAAGACATGAGGGAAATTTATATGCATATTACAAGTGAAAGAAGTTAATTTGAAAAGGCTATGTACAACAGGATTCTAATTAGATGACATTCTGGAAGAGGCAAAACTATGGAGCCAGTAAAAAGATCAGTGATTGTCAGCAGTGAGGGTAGGGTAGGTAGCAGAATAGTGGGACACAAAGGAATTTAGGACAATGAAAATACTTGTATGATATTGTAGTGATGAATACAAGTCATTATACTTTTGTAAACCACCAAGAGTCAGCCCTAAGCTAATACATGCACTTTGGATGGTTATGTCTCAGTGTAGGTACCATTTTGGTAAATGATGTGCATGATGGGGTAAACTATGACCATGTGTGGGCAAGGGGCATATGGGAAATCTCTGTGCCTCCCTCTCAATTTTGTTATGAACCTAAAACTACTCTAAAAATTATTTTTTAAAAAGAAAGGATATCACACATTTTAATTCGCAACTCTTGTTTCAGGATCTACAAAAATGATGACTGTTTGAGGTCCCTGGCACAGCACACATTTATAGATATACAAGTAAGTTAACATCCTCACTTTCTGACAGCTTACAAATTGGGTTGAAAAAATGGACAACGAATTATGTTGTAAGGATTCTGAACTATAGACTACAGTGTTCTTCCTAGTTGGGTGACATTTTAAAAAAACAAGTGATAAAACTTCTATTTCCAGACAGTTTCCAAGGAAATAGTTCTGAGATGACTCCTGGGTTGGTTTATGTCAAAATTCACTGTTTTAAACAATTTTTCTTCCTGAGGAGGCAAGTAATAAATATAACTCCAAAAGTTTCCTTTTTTGTTTTTTTCTTAATATATCATATTTTTATTGAGCTTTTTAAACTCCCCAAGTTGACAAACCAACAGTTGTATTTTCCCTATAAATAAACCAGAGGGATTGAATAATTGGAATAAATATTTTAGTTAGATATTGTAATAAACCTCCCTTTTTGTTCAAGCTGATTATCGGCACTTACGGGTCAAAAAGTTTTCATAGACATATGAATTTCTATCACAAAACTTTCCTAAGTCCACTATCTTTTTCTCCAGTCAATTCATGAGGTCTGACATCTTACCTATCAGGTATTTCTTTTTTTCCTTAAGTCTTTTATTTATTGATTGATTTTAAAGAGAGGATGAGAGGGAGGGAGCAAGAAACACATCAATTTGTTGTTCCACTTATTTATGCATTCATTGGTTGATTCTCGTACATGTCTTGGTCAGGGATTGAACCCACAACCTTGATGTATTGGGTTGCCCTCTAACCAACTGAGCTACACCAGCCAGGGCCAGCAGGTGGATATTTCAATAAAAGCAATGAAAATGTGCGGATGGTATTTAACCATCATAGGTCATTCAGAAAATGGCTTTTTTGGTTGGTCTGATTTTGAGGCCCTGTGGCTTAAATAGTTTAAACATTCTTTTCCATGCATTTTAGATAGCTTTTTCTTAGCATTACATATTTTAAGCACAACCCACAGTATATGTAAACTTTTATATGTAAACTTGAATCCCTCTCACAATCCAGGACCCCTCAGGGGATGTCAGACTGCTGGTTTC